GACTCATTGACAGACCTTGCGATTCCACGCGCAAGGGTGACGGGTTTGGTACACAAAGCAGGGTATGCGTAAGGTTACATGTTAGTACAGTTTGTACCACTTTTCGCCGTGGAATTTACACTTCAATGCATGCCTCAATCCAAGTAGAATTAGATCACTACAAGCGCTCCACGGAAATGACGGATTTAGTACACAAAACAGTATATGTCTAAGCTTACTTATTCCAACAGTGTGTAGGAGCCATGGTGGCTAAGTGGGTAAGATGCTGGCTCGCTAGCCTGGGGGCCGGGTGTTCGATCTCTGCATTGGCCGAGAAAGTTCATCCAGATTTTCCGGCGTGGTTCCCCCTTGTCAGTGATGCAGGACGGAGGGCCTGACAAGGACAGCTTTCTAGTCGTTCGGATGTGACGAAAAACGGAGGACCCGTGTACACATTGGCGTGCACGTAAAAGATCCCTCGAAAGTTGGAATTCGATATAAGAGTAGGCCGTAGTGCCGCTACGCTGTCCGGGCAAAATTTCCATCATAGCATATTGTAAGGCGTATGCCCGTCTTCATTAGCCCAGTTCGGAGCAGAACAGTAGGACGTTAAACCCCATTTCATTTCATTTCATTTCGAACCACAGAATAATGTCTGTAACACATGAGAAAATAGATGGATATAAGAATTAAACATGTGTGCCCCGTCTTGATTATAATCAGGTAAAGATCAGCCCACCTTTAAACCACATGTCACGTGTGGTATTTCTTGTATTCAGGATTTCCTATGATTGTTCAACTTATAAACACGCGGGTAGCGTTTAATAGCCCAAGAACAAATAAAGGAACCGTTTTTACTCGACTTAAGAAACATGATAGGGTTTAACGTCCCGGCAACACAATTATTATCTCAAATGATCATGAAATGAAAATGAAATGAAATGGGGTTTAACGTCCAGCTGCTATGCTCCGACTGTGCTAATGAAGACGGGCACACGCCATAAAGTGTGCTATGAGAGAAACTTTGACCGGGCAGCGGCGCTATGACAGACTCTTATATCGAATTACATCTACCAAGGGATCTTTTACGTGCACGCACGCCAATGTGTCAAATGATCATGAATCGTTTCTACACTTTAAAGATGCCTAATGTAAGATTTAGATAAAGCGCTGATAGTTCTTGCTATAATAGTTAATAACATAGATAATGAAAAGAAAATATGTTGAAAATTTCGGTCAAATAGCTTCATTCTAAATGGAGTTATCACCGCTTGAAGGACAGTGTAATCCCAATTGTCATTGCTACCGTTGTTGCGATAATAAACAAAGTCTGGATTATCTATTTTTATTTAAATTAGTAACTGGCAATCGTGTTAAAATCCGCTTAAAATCAAAACCACCCGATGACCAGAGAGTTGATTATGGGCTTGGCGTGTGCATAAATGGCTAAATAAATGATCTATAGAAGAATTGGGGCCAAACGAGATATCTACATTATGCAGATTTAGCTATTACATAATACATCTTTAATTTGGATTTGTCATATAAATTAGTAACATTTGATAGTTTGTGACATGAACATAGATAATTGGTTCAGTTTGGTAGTTTGTGATCTCAGTCAAAATAATTTCAGTTCAGTAGCCTTTGATACGATACGAGTTCGGTTGTTTTTGATTTGAACATTGGTTGTTAGTCTCGTTTGATAGGTTGTGATCGTGCTCCGGGGGTCGGTTTCGTTTGGTAGGTTGTGATCTTGCTCCGGGGGACTAGTCTCGTTTGGTAGGTTGTGATCTTAAGCTAAGGGACTAGTCTCGTTTGGTAGGTTGTGATTTTAAGCCAGGGGCCGGTTTCGTTTGGTAGGTTGTGATCTTGCCCTGGGGGACTAGTCTCTTTGGTTAGGTTGTGATCTTGAGCCAGGGGCCGGTTTCGTTTGGTAGGTTGTGATCTTGCCCTGGGGGACTAGTCTCTTTGGTTAGGTTGTGATCTTAAGCCAGGGGCCAGTTTCGTTTGGTAGGTTGTGATCTTGCCCTGGGGGACTAGTCTCGTTGGTTAGGTTGTGATCTTGAGCTAGGGGACTAGTCTGGTTTGATGGACTGTGGTCTTGCTCTAAGGGACTAGTCTCGTTTGGTAGGTTGTGATCTTAAGCCAGGGGCCAGTTTCGTTTGGTAGGTTGTGATCTTGCTCCGGGGGACTAGCCGCGTTTGGTAGGTTGTGATCTTGAGCCAGGGGCCAGTTTCGTTTGGTAGGTTGTGATCTTGCTCCGGGGGACTAGCCGCGTTTGGTAGGTTGTGATCTTGAGCCAGGGGCCGGTTTCGTTTGGTAGGTTGTGATCTTACTCCGGGGGACTAGTCTCGTTTGGTAGGTTGTGATCTTGCTCCGGGGGACTAGCCGCGTTTGGTAGGTTGTGATCTTGAGCCAGGGGCCGGTTTCGTTTGGTAGGTTGTGATCTTACTCCGGGGGACTAGTCTCGTTTGGTAGGTTGTGATCTTGAGCTAGGGGACTGGTCTGGTTTGATGGACTGTGGTCTTGCTCTAGGGGACTAGTCTCGTTCGGTAGTATCTATGCATATGTTTGGGTCAATTTAGAGAATGTTTAATCTGGTTGCCGTTTCAAGGAAAAACTATGGAAGACATCGTTTGTAAATTTTGAGAAATACGAAGAAAACGAAAAACAAAAAGGAGACAATAGGTATCAGCTATACAGAAGCAAATAAAATGGTAATCTTCCAGGAATTGCCATAACATGTCCAACAGATACAAATCATTTAGAAACAGATAGGACAGGATCTATTGAAGTCTAAATAATTTAAAATATAATGCTCCCCAAAACATAAATAGTATTTATTTGGCTACGAAATGAAAAGAAATGAAATGGTGTTTAACGTACTTCTGCTCCTATACTGGTCTAATGAAGACAGGCATACGCCATGCAGTGTGCTATGAGGAAAAATTTTGCCCGGAGAGCGGCACTATGGCTTACTCTTAAATCGAATTCCAACTGCCAAGGGATCTTTTACGTGCACGCCAATGAACTTTCTCGGTCAATGCAGGGTTCGAATAATATGTTGTTACGACAACATAACATCTGTATCATCACTATAAATATGGTGAACTGTTTCGAATGACATAATTTTATCTTTGTGCTGCGAATAACTGCTGGGGGGAGGGGTTGGGTGCCGAATGGTTAGCACGCGCGCGCTGTATCATACGGTATGTCATTGAGTCAACTGACGGGGTTTCGATTCCCCTGTTGTACGTGACAAGGAGTAGGGTCGCCTGTCCAGCCTCGTGGGTTTTCTCCGGGTCCTCCGGTTTCCTCCCACTGCTAAAGACCCCTACGCCGCAAGCGAATTATTGAAATAAAAAAATTAAACCATATGTTAGTCCCGAAATGATCTAGTTTGTGTCGAGTGGACGTTAAACCCCATTGATCTCTCTCTCTCTCTCGCTAATAACTGCGTGACGAGTTAAGAAACGGCAAAATATGAACCGTCTATTAAACGCGACCCCGATTACAGCACACAAGGCGTGGTTGTTTATAAATAAATAGATAAACAAATAACCGAGATAAATATATAAATAACAACATGATGGCAGGAAGGAATCTACTGTTTTACAAACTCCCAATTCCGGTTTTCTCATTTGATGGTTTCCTGAAAACATGACTTATACATTTGTTTTATATTGTCATCTATATAACATCACCAGACATACACTAAATTATTAATTCATTTAATTTGTTGGTTAACAGCTTATATCATAGAAAATGTAACATCCTGAGGGAATTTTTGTAATTTCCTTGACGTTATTATGAAGGCCTATTAAATGTGTTTGTAAGGATTTGTAGACAAGGCAAGAATTGTGGATTATTAAACACCGGCTGTAGATTTTTTACACTTCATTCGATTCGTATTTCAAACCGGACTTATTAAAAGCGGAAATATTTCGTGGATATGATCAGAAATATGTATACCATTTTGCTAAAAACCATAATTTTATTAGTGAAATGAAATGGGGTTTAACGTCCTACTGTTCTGCTCCGACTGAACAAATGAATTCGGGCATACGCTATACAATGTGCTATGAGGGAAATTGTAGACCGGACAGCGGCACTATGGTCTACTCTTTTTCGGGCACGTTAATGTGTACACTTGACCGCAATTTTTCGTCCATTCCTAACGACTATAATTATGTTGTCCTTTGCCCTCTGTCCTGCATCACTTGCGAGCCATAATGTGATTAGTAATCTATATGAAATTGTGCTGAAAACCATGGTGTGGTTAGCGATTTGTAAAATATTTTTTGGGAGCCATTGTGTGATAAGTAATTTGTATAATATTTTGTAAGGAGCCATAGTGTGATAAGTAATTTGTATAATATTTTGTTGAGAGCCATAATGCTATAAGTGAAAGGAAATGAAATGGGGTTTAACGCCCTATTGTTCTGCTCCGACTGGACTAATGAAGACGGGCATACGTCATAAGTGTGCTATGATGAGGGGAATTTTGCCCGGGCAGCGGCACTATGGCGTACTCTTATATCGAATTCCAACTCCCAAGGGATCTTTTACGTGCACGCCAATGTATACACGTGACCTCGGTTATCCATCCCTTCCGATAGCTGTCCTTGTCAGGCCCTCCGTCCAGGCTAGGAGTCAGCGTCTTACCCACTTAGCCATCGTCACTCCCCCATAATGCGATTAGCAATTTGTATGAAATATTGTTGGGAGCCATAACGTGATTATAATATTTTGATGAGAACCATAATGTGATTAGAAATTTGTATAATATTTTGTAAGGAGCCATAGTGTGATAAGTAATTTGTATAATATTTTGTCATAATGTGATACTGTGATTAGAAATTTGTATAATATTTTGTTGGGAGCCATAATGTGATTATAATATTGGGAGCAATAATGTGATTATGATATTTTATTGGGAGCAGTAATGTGATTAGAAATCTGTATAATATTTAATTGAGAACCATAATGTGATTAGTTATTTGTATGATATGTCATTGAAGGGTTATATACAGAGAATCATGGTATGATCAGTAATTATATGTATGATGAAGTAGAAAAAGAATCATTCCTGATCGGGACAAATCCAGAACAATATCATTCTTACTGGTGGAATCAGGCAGAACCCGTCTGGATTTCAGCTGAAAAACAGGTAAATAGACACTCACATGTATGTCAACTTCACCAATGTTTAACGTCCGACTGGACTATAATGAAGATGGGCATACGCCATACAGTGTGCTATTAGGTAAATTTTGTCCGGACAGCGGCACTATGGCTTAGTCTTATATCGAATTCCAACTGTCCAGGGATCTTTTGCGTACATGCCAATGTATGCACGGGACCTCAGTTTTCATGCCATCCGAACGACTAGACAGTTGTCCTTGTCGGGCCCTCCCTATGAACTTTCTCGGCCAATGCAAGGATCGAACACCCGATCTCAAGGCTAGCCAGCATCTTCCCCACTTAGCCACCGTGGCCCCCTTATCCTATACTAATTGTAATATACATACATAATAGAGAAAAATCCCTGCCCATAGAAATATATAAATAGTCTATATATCTCTATTCCACCTACCACATATTCATGACGTTATTGTATCTTATGACGTTCCGAAGAAAAATGCAAACTCCAAAATATCGTATACCTTTGCAATTAGTATGTATGTTTGATTTCATAGTTCATTTATCTGATCTGGTTCTCCACAAAATATATTTTAACTACCAGGATCAATTAGCTTAAAGTGGTGAAACTGTACTTTCGACCCCCTTTTTGTCAGAAGAAATTGTCTACAGTGGCAGGAAACGTGTTTATCTCCAAATCACGGCGTGTGGAAAGGAAGCCAGTGAGATGATGTTATCACCCGCCTACGCACCATGCCAATATTTAATTGTATCAGATTTTTTTAATGATAGGTAGTCAACTACCTTTTTCGCTGACTGAAAGGACTTTTAGATTCCTACTTAACGTCCACTCAACGCAAGCGTGCTCATTTCGGGATTTGCCGGAACCTGTATAGAAATATGCACAATGGATTACTTCTTTTCTAATTGGCACCAACATATAGATGACTATTCTTCTAATCCTACTGAAAACCATTTCCCAATTTAATAGTCGGACCTTAATAGACTATTGGAACATTATATTAGTACATCCAATTACTTTTTGAATTGTTTCAATATCATCTAGTAATTGAACTGGAATATACAGGTCACAATTCTATGGAATACAAATGGAATACAATTACTGCTTATTACTGAGCGACGTTTCGACTAGGCTTCTCTAGTCATTATCAAGCAATGATAAAATATGAGACAATATATACATGTACACATCAATACTTGGTTAATGCTGGCCAACCAGAGATACCTTTCTAATTACATGTAATGAAAAATAAATGAGTAGTATTTACACTCGATACTATCGTGATTTAGAAGGACAGGATTTGAACTGTTAAGTGCATTGAATTTTAATAACAGCAGCCCTGAAAAACAAAATTATAGTCAATTATTAATTATTATAATTTCCTACCTTTCGAAATCACTATAACATCCAGTGTAAATACTTCTCACCGATTCAATAGTCGGCCTTCAGGGGACCATTGATAATTTGTGCAGTCTTTGTTCTAAGGGTTTTTTCGTATATTAGTGGAATCACTTACATCAACATGCATATAATATCAACATTTTTCGTTGATAATGCTAATCAAATTTCACCTTTTTAGGGTGTTGTGATTATTAAAACCTGATCAAATCATTGTAAATACTCCACCCAACAAGCTATCTATTAATCAATCTGTGTTAATTTTAGGTAAAGTGGTCGTTTATAACATTAATCAAATTCCATCTTCTTTCAGCATTTGTCATTATTAAAACCTAATCAAATCATTGTATATACCCCACAACAAGTTATCCATTAAATATTTTCTTATTTTATCATTGCTTGATATTGACTAGAGAAGCCTAGTCGAAACGTCGCTCAGTAATAAGCAGTACTTGTTTTCCATAGAATTGTGACCTGTATAATTACTTTTTGGTTACCGTGCCTAAGAAATATCTCAACTTCAAACCGGAACCCTACATAAAGAAGTTATATGACATAAGTCTGCTACAGAATAAGGCTGTGTGTATTTTGGTTATAATATAAAAATTATATTGTTGTTATTTTATAGAAGTTAAACAGTTATATGTACTTTTGGCCTGGCTGTGAAGTTACCATTCGAGATGTTAAGCCAACCCAATGTAGACCATATAATGGCCCGCCTAGTTTAGATGATTTTAAAAGAGTTATGTCGGACATCATGCGGAAATTTGTTAATAACGAAGCAGATTTAGGCGGTAATATATTTCTCATTTCAATTTCAGTGAATACTTACGAATTCTTATTTTAGGACTATCTTACGATTCAATTATTTTTATTAATTCGTTTAAGCGTAGGTGTCATTAGCACTTGGGGGCGGTCGAGGTTAGACAGACAGTCCTACTCCCTATCACGTACAAGCAGGGAATCTAAAACACGCCACTTGACTCAATGGCAGATCTTATGATCTAAAGTCTCCTGTATGGCTATATAATAAAATGGGGGTTAACGTCCACTCGACACAAACTAGGTCATTTCATGACTAACACATGTTGCAATTTTATTTCAATAATTCGCTTGCGAGTAGGGGTCTTTAGCAGTGGGAGGAAACCGGAGGACCCGAAGAAAACCCACGAGGTTGGACAGGCGACCCTACTCCTTGTCACGTACCACGCCAGTTGACTCAATGACAGACCGTATGATACAGCACGCACGTGCTGACCATTCGGCCATGCACCCCACCCCTGTATTCCCTCTCTTTCCGCATTTTAAAATCTGGTAAAGATATCATTATTATGTTTTCTCTATTTTCAGGCGTATACTATGAACTGACCGATAAATTAGGACATGATTACGGTCCCAAGAGTAAACCATTGAACGATAATATACAGGCTTTAGATGCTGAATTATTTAAACTAACAGAAGACATAGTGAAAATGGGATTAAATGACAGATTAAATATCATGATATTTTCTGATCACGGTATGGCAGATATGACCAATAGAACTTTAATAAATATGGCTAGCATATTGAACCGGAATGATTATGACGTTATTCTAGAAAACGGACCACTATCAAGTGTTTGGCCAAAACCTGGAAAACACAGAGAGGTGAGTTTCACGAAAATAGTTACTGCTATTTGATTTTACGACAAACGCAATTGAACCCTCGTCCAATTCAGTTGGCCAGAAAATTATTATCGCTCTTCTATTGATGTCCCAACTAGAGAGTGTACAAACGAAATGAAATGAGGTTAAACGTTCTACTCCGACTGGATTAATCCTACTGGGCTAATGAAGACTGGAATATGCCATACAGTTTGCTATGGGGGAACTGTGTCTGGACAGCGGCGCAATGGTCTACCCTTGAACCATATGATTCAATTTTATTTCAATAATTCGCTAGTGTGTAGGGGTCTTTAGCAGTGGTAGGAAACCGGAGGACCCGAAGGACCCGGAAAACCCCCACAAGGTTGGACAGGCGACCCTATTCCTTGTCACGTACAAGCGGGGAATCGATACGACGCCACTTGACCCAATGACAGACCTTATGATCAAACGCGCACGCGTTAATCATTCGGCCACCCAACCATGGGCTTCACCACTGTGAACGCTGATTGTTCCAGTGAGTGATACGCTGACTAATTAACTACATGTAACATGGTGGTCCCAGGTTCGATTCCGTTGTTCGCCGAAAAACTTCCTTGGGATATTTCAGCGTTGTACGTTATACTCCTTCGCAGCACCTACAGACAATGTAGGTTGGAATAATCTTGGCTACTTAATAAAGAGTAGATTATCACCTTTATCACATCTTACTCAAAATCGGAATTGTATTTGACTGGAGATGGGAGGCTATAACGTGTCACCATGACGACATTTTTTGTTTGTTTCAGGTTTATCACAAGTTAAGACAATTTCACCGTAAAATGCATGTTTATGAACGTGAAGATTTACCGGAACGATATCATTATAAACATAATGCACGTGTAGCACCAATAACAATGATAGCAGAGAAGCCTTATTATATATTAACGGTAGGAATTTACAAATTTGTGGCAATTATTTTAAACTGATGTTAAGGGTGACAGCATTTGTGGCAATTACTTTAAACTGATTTTAAGGGTAGCAGCTTGGAATTATAACCAATAGAAACTAATGTAAACAGTGAGAAAAATATCAAGACTTGAACATGCTACACAATAAATGCCCAACCACTCACTACTCTTTCAAACTGCCATCAAAGCGGTTTATTAAAGATACATTATGGGAGAATCGATAACGAGTTGGCAGTTCTCACAATAATAGTTAAAAACTAGATAATGTAAAGGCATTTTGCTGAAAATTCCATTCAAATTGCTCCACTATGAACCGAGAACAAAGCTATTGAATTTCCGCCTAGCCTTGATCATCATTACTAAAGTTAGTACGCTAAACAGCATAGTCTCGATTATCCATTTAATCGTTAAATCGTGAAGGAAAGTTATGCAGTAAATCGGCTCATAATCCTATAAAGATCGCAGGCTAGCGTTGCCATCTAGAGTTGATTATGGTCTGGATAAGTTAATTAATGTCTAAATAATAATTTAGATAACATTTCAGGCCTAAAGAAAGACCTGCAATAGGCAGATTTAGCTCTTGTATAATGTATCTTTAATTAACAGTGAAATAAATATCAAAACTTGAACAGTCTGCACAATAAATGTTCAACCCCTCACTACTCTTTCAAGCTGGCATCAGAGCGGTTTATCAATTAACTGCAAAACGTTGTTTTTTTTCTGAATAAAACTTATACAGTTACTAAAAGTTCTTTTCGCCAAGAATTATAAACATTTTCCAGTCCAAGCCTCATGGAATAAGCAAAGATTAAAATGTACCACAGGGGTAAGGAAGAGTTTAAAGGCCCTAGCATTTGCTTAAGAAGAAAATTTATACAAAAGAGGATTTTGAAAGACTCATAAATACTACCCACGGCGTTTTAGTTCACTAAAGGCATGGTTGTGACGAGTTTTATTTCGAAGATCTAAGATATGAATAAAGTTTATACAATAATTTGAATCTGGGAACAAAACTTGTCACCTTTATCAGCTGACCAATTCTCTTGGTAATCCATGTAGTTAAAAGTGTGAAATGTTCTGGGTTCTTTTAATTGACCAATATTAACGAATCTGGCCAGTTGTGTGTTAGGAGCCCTACTATTCGAGTTTGTAGAAGATACTTCTATATCCTTGCCTTTGGCTCGCTAAGCTGGAGGACCCGTGTTCGATCCCCACGGCAGCCGAGGACGTTCATCGGGATTTCCGGCGTGGTTCCTCCTTGTCAGTGGTGCAGGACAAAAATCGAGGTCCCGTGTAAACTTTGGCATGCACGTTAAAGATCTCTTGGCAGTTAGAATTCGATATGAGAGTAGGCCGTAGCGCCGCTGTTCGGGCAAAATTTTCCCTCATAGCCCACTGTATGGCACATGCCCGTCTTCATTAGCCCAGTAGTTGTACGTTAAACCCCATGACATTTCCATTTCCTTGCATTAAATCCTCCTTGTTCTTAGTCAGGAGACACAAGGAAATATATTTCGTTATTATAGAATAAAATAAACAGAACGTTGACGACACCAATAACTCAATAGGCTAGCGTTCTTTTATAAATTGGCTAAAATATCAAAATAAAATTGTGCTTTCTTTACAGCCGGTAAAACCGAATTATCCATCACGAAAATCAGATTTTCAGCCGAGAATGGGAGTGCATGGTTATGATGATACCGATATTGATATGAGAGGGATATTTCTAGGTTTTGGGCCATGTAAGTTTTCAGATACATTCGCCTAAATGTATTAGGTAGTAGATGCCAACGTGTGCATAGACTAGCATAACAGTTAAAGGGCGATAACCCTATTATCTAAACCTTTTGGGGTAAGACTACTAATGTTTCACCAAAGACTTCAATAATGTAAAGTTCGTGCATATAATCATTTCATGGATATTCCATGGAATGTATGTCACAATCAGCTGTCAAATTATTCTTAAAGAGCTTTGAATGGCTGGATACATAACCTATTTCCACCGCAAACGCATTATACTCACAAAAACAGGAATAATTTACTATCTAACTCGGATTTACCTATGAATAACTTAACTTTAATTAACTGAATGGCTGCTTGTGTATTTTTATACAGAAGATTTTATATATATATATATATATATCCAAAAAATATTAGCACAACCATAACGCTGCAATACTTTATTGAAAGGATATCGAGAATATGGCATTTCATTAATTGTCTACTTAAAGTTACCTTCCGCGTACTAACGGGGTGATTTGATGATGTATTTGGACTAAAAACCTAATCAACTAATTAATCTATAAATATTTTGCTTCAATTTCCTCTTAAAACATTGTATTCGCGAGGAAATAACCCAAGATATAAAAATATCTAAAATATGTATTTTTAAAAGCCATGTTTGTCATGTAACTTGATTGAGGGAGGGTCCGTTTTCAAAAGTTATTTGTCGTTACTTACTGTCCATTTGTCATACATATTGAAGCCTAAGTAAATTCTTGGATTATCTTCTGCTAACTTCTTTTTCCGCTGTTTTAATGAAAGTCATTTGTAAGTTTAATCCTCCCAATATTCGCAAAATCGCCTAACCATTCAATCAAAAATAGCAAGCGCTCCCTAAGTCAAGCTGACAAACAATAAGCCGTCGGGTTGCCAGATGGTGATGCCCTGGCATTTTGGCCCTGGCTTACCTCAATGGTGTTTTCAGGGGATCCGGTATTTTTATCGTAAGATTGGGCGTTTCTACTTTCCAATTAATATCACATTTGCAATACGTTTATTGGTAATAACTACCCTATAAATACTTTCGTAAGAACGTATCTTTAAAACAGATACAGAATTGCGGTATTTCTGGAGTTAGTCGCACTCTCCATTAATAGACGTGATGTAGCACAAAGCGACATTATGCACCATAGAATTAATGGACGCCATTTTTAGGTTGGCCAAAATATCTCTAAATACGGCTCCGCTGTGTTTTATTTGCATACTAGTATTATTTAACTTACACTATACTTGGTTGTTCTTTCAGCATTTAAAGCTCATTACCGAGGACCAGGAATAGAAAATATACATCTCTATCAGATTATGTGTCGTATATTGGGTCTTATACCAGAATCTCATAATGGTACATGGTCTACGATTAGTGGATTAGTCACAGATAAACTGCCACCTGCAGTAGGAGGGGCGAGCACTCTAACCTTGACTTACCTAATACCAATATCTTTACTTGTTTTAATCTGTACAACACTCTGTTTTTAAATCATTAGACAGGATCTCAGTTTAAACCACCGCGCTGTACGTGTAGGTAAGATTGATGCCCTTAATCCGATGCCACTTTATTTATTATATAGAGTTCCAAAGCTAATAATTTTAGATATTCGTAATGGTGCAATTTTAGTAATTTGCAGGTACAGATACACAGTGCGCGCCTCCCCGCCTATTGATATTGTTCATAACCTTCATTATAATGTGAACACCTCTCAGGATTAACATTGCTTACAAGATTCCTCATTTGTTATAAATTGTTCTTATACATTTGTAAACAATATATTTGCAATAAAATATTTATTACAACATTATCATTATATTGTCCTCATCAGTTTGTTTGTCAATTCTTTATAAACTTGATATATCCCTATTCTTTTTTATTTATTTATACGCACTACACGTTCACAAAATCTTTTTGACATTTAACCATAGAATACACCCATATTAAGCCACATATGCCACAAACTGAATTTTTAAGCTGACTTGTTCTTGGAGAATTCGCAAAAAAAGGCCACACAATAGTTTGCATCCCTACCGACCTTCCATGCAGTATTCAATTTCTCACATAAATGGAACGGAATTATCTCACTGTTTTAACGCCATATTTGTAAAGTCAACTTGGTCTCGGAGACCTTACAAGTAAGGGCCATCCAATCCAAATAGTTTGCACACTCAGACACGGCACGATTTTAGTACCCCCCCCCCCCCACACACACACACACACACATACCAACACTCTCGCGTTAAAAAAAAAATCCTACACCCTCCTCTGAGACTTTGGTTAGTACCTCCGCCTTCAGTATGTTTATAGATTTCATGTATGAATGCCAATATTTGTTTGTATTTCATGTATAGGGATGCCAATATTATATTTCATGTGTAGAGATGCAATATATTTCATGTGCAGAGTGGCCAATATATTTTATGTAAAGATGTCAATATATGTCAAGTGTTGTCAATTATATAAAGCTGTTCTAAATAATAATATTTTAAATTAACTGCACTTACTTTATTTTCTTGCTAGATAAACATGTATAATGAACTGTTTCAATGGCATTTAGTAATTGAACTAGAGTATACAGGTCACAATTCTATGGAATACAATTACTGCTTTTTACTGAGCGACGTTTCGACTAGGCTTCTCTAGTCATTATCAAGCTATGCTCAGTAAAAAGCAGTAATTGTATTCCATAGAATTGTGACCTGTATGTATAATGAACTTTGAATTTGTACATTTTTATTGTATATTTCATACCTATTTTTGTTGTGTTGTTTAGATTAATTGTCGTTAGAAATAAAAAAAATAAATACATGTTCTACCCTTTCAAGAATATAATTTGGCCAATAAACCAAACTATGGGGCGGTTTTAGTATAAAACATCATTATAGTTCATGGGAAGGGCGGAGCACATCAATCTTGTAGGGCTTAAACTGTTTTTAAAAGCAATAATACAGTACCACCGACCCTATATGGACAATCAAAATGCATAAATTAGAAATATAAGACAAAAGAAATAAGATATAAATCAAATTTGAATATTGGTTTAGCTTATGATTGAGATTTGATCATTTCATATAACACTTGACCTGTCTTTGAACACAGACTAAATGGCTGTAGCAAAGGAAAACATAAATAACGCCATATAGATGAAACTACATGTATTAAGTTGTTCTGTTATATGAACTGGCCGTTAAATTAATCACTGTCATATTCCAAACACCTCCTGGTCCGAGATAGCGATTCAATTTGTCTTTTAGGTTTTGTTATTGGTAATTTAACAGTATCCGCATATGCACTGCCTACGCTATCTCGGCGAATATTCTAGGCATTCGAGACTCAGTATATTATGATGCACTTCTATGCATACCTGTACGGTCTTGGTCTGCGCCATCTGGACGAATAATACATATTCTGGGCATTCGGGGCTCCATTACTACGCGTGTTAGAAATTTGAGCAGGAATAATCCACTTTCTTCTATGCATCTCGGGAATATGGCGAGATGGTCTGTACGGTACACCATTTTTACCCCGAATTAAAACGCGTTCAGAATACGGCACACTACGTCCTGGCTTAAACACACGGACGACAACAGTTGGTTGTGAAATAAAAGCTTTCACAGGAAAGTCATAAATATTCAACACGCCGCCCATGATGGCCCCCCTTCGTCGCCGTCTGCTATTATGACGATGGCGATGTCGGTGATGTTTGACATCCAAGGTGATGTTCGATATAGTGGGTGAGCTCCGAGATTTAGCACGGGTTAGCTTCCGCATACTTCGTTTACGGTGTCTTCTTTTCAATCTGGCATATCTGCGTCTCTGTTGTCTCCGGATCTTTCTAAAGTTGCGTGCTGTGGTTAGTAGGAGTGGAGCTTTGTCCGACCCTTTAACTAATAACGTTGCAACAAAGTTTCCCTTTGATGTCACGCGGCTAATAATGGTGGGGTGTGAAATAAACAATGGTACACCATACTTAGTCGACTCGTGGTCAGATGAGTTTTCTTCTTGCTTTCTACTTGGTAATTCGCTCTTGTTGTGCATATTGGATATTGGCCGATTTACGCTTGTAATATTCTTTGGCTCCGCTTCCTTGTGTCTTTGGCGTCTTCTTCTCTTTTTATTCCGTCTTTTTTGATTTGGGATTATACCTTCTGGTTGTCGATATAATACTCGTTGACGACCTCCATGTATTTTCCAAACCAACTGTCTAAATTTATTCATGGCATCTTCAAAAGAACGGATATTTTCATCTTTGGTAGCGTTTAGGGCAACACGTTTCGTCCATTCTGTGTCCAGTTTATAGTTCGGGTCAGTCTGTGCCTTAGAGTAAGTGGGGTGAAAACTTACAGATCTTCTATTGCGCAGTTTCGATGCTTTGCGTCCTCCTAGCTGTGGTACAAGTAACAATAACACTAGATAAACAAGTGTTGTCTTCATTTTTACCTGTGCAGGAATAAAACAAATAAACTCAGTTATTTGGTTACTTCATGGAAATCGTCCATTTAATGCAGTGATTCTCAACGAATGTGCCGCGGCACACCTGTGTGCCGCGAGATCTTCCTAAATGTGCCGCGAAATTTTGAAAGGCACACTAAAAAAAATGCGAAAAACCACGTGATCCCAAATGAGTATTCACCGGTGTCTGCTGGTAAGTTCATAGTTGTATTTTTCTTTATTTAGTTTAGTAACTCTATGTGTCTATGCCTAGCCTGTGTCTACGGTTGCATGCCGGCTATGACTTTCCATGTTTTTATTTTTCAAAATTCAAATATTTGTCATATGTATTTAGCCAGGTGTGCCGCTATTTTTCCATGTGTTCCAAGGTGTGCCGTTGGCAAAAAAGGTTGAGAACCACTTTTTTAATGTAACGTAGATATGAAAGAGTGACTCAAAAACATGAGTATAATAACATGCCGTCATAATTCAATTATTGTTAGGTTTTGTGGATGTATAAATATGTCGCGAAGAAAGCTAACTTACCCTATCATCTATTCCATACATTGGGTTTTATATCCAACCATGATGTTAAGAAACCATTGAACTTCCTCAATCTTTTCAAATCAAAATAACATCAGAATATTAGTAAGTTTTTCATTTCGCAATTTAAAACACATTCCAAATTAATTTGATTTTCTTCGCTCGTTTTTTGCGTCCTTATAACGTGTTTCTAGTTCACATTTAAAAAAATACAATACAATACCAACTACACCTAATGGTTTAGTATGTTCCAGTTTATACTCCGAAATTCATTTTTTTTAATTTGTTATCTATATTCTATCACAGTCAGCAACACACTAGCTTAAGAGATATGGATATAATCCTGCACCTTGCCTACTGCACAATCAAAGTATGTGAATATTGTCTAACATAAGCCTACTAATCACTGTGTATTCATATTAGATTATTGATACATAACGTGCATTGAATATATTAAAATACCCGAGAGCTAATGTACAATAGTTGTACAAAATTCCACTTCTATTTATTGCTATGTTGAATGAAACTACGGCAGACATATAGTAATATAATACTCATTAATACATAAACAGTCATAGAAAGTGGACAACACTCGGTATAATACGACACACCTGGTATATGACACAAACCTTGTTTTTTATATCTTATTTAAAGTGGTTCGTTTATGAATTCACCTAAAGCCATGCAATCTATTGCATACCTTCAATATGACAATGATTGATAATACGAACCCTTAACTCTAACTAGCGTAGTGCTTTAAAGTAGTTCTACTTGTAGTTCCACTTTTAATAACCTGGTGTAACATTATGTACAATAATACATAAAGAGCCACGGCGATAAACTAAATTATTATAGGTTTCCCTTTAAAGATATTTCAAAAATGGATGGAAGGGGGGTTACACATAAGCCTAGCCAGATCCAGTTAATAACGGAATGAAAATGTAGTTGTAGCTCTACTTTTAATATCGCCGTTTCACATTTCCTATAGTGATACCTAAAAGTAAGTGCAGGAGAACAGCAAATTAGTCCCATATCGCATGCCACCTTCCTTTATAGATCAAACTGTTGTTTTCTTTTATATAATTGTTAAATTATGACACTATTGCCACCGAATAACATTACCGATCCGAAATTCTTTTATTCATTTTTAGAATTTTGAATGTTTTTCAGGAATTTTTTAACAAAGAATTTTTTCTATTAAAGATAATTAGGAGGTGTGCCTGGAATGTAATATTAAAGCGGAGCAATTCAATATTTATTTTAATGTTGAAATAGTCACAAGACAAAGCATTAAAACAACAAATGGTAATATTTGAGGGAGAATTAGTTGCCCTAAATATTAATTTATATTTTTAGGATCATTCTTACAATACTATTGACTCCATACGGTTAAAATCCAACACACATTATATATACGCCCATATTTCACCATCTTCCGTCATTTGTACGTATGTTCCCAACAGCCCAGGGTTTAATTTTGCAACGAAAAATGAACACACAGGTCATACACATGTTCCCATCTTTTCTAACAAACTCTCCTTTTTGAATACCAAATTAGGAAAGCTAAACCAGTAAATACAGTACTTACTAGCTATATAGGCCAATAATAATTAGTAAAAATGACAAATAGATATAAAAATGGTGTAAGCAGGGGCGGATCTAGGAATTTTGAAAAGGGGGGACGCCGCAAAATGAGGGCACTGACCGCGGAGACGCGGCACGCCGCTGAGAGGGGTCCCCAAGAAAATTATCCGTCATTTCCTGCATCTGTAGGCATACCAAGAGCTATTTGGCTGATATTTTCGTCTAAGTAAACGTTCGGAAATCGTTGAAAAAGAGCCTTAAAATCGAGCAAAAAAGCCAGTTGAACACGCGACTCAAAAATTGTCAAGGCGAGCGAGGCATTATGATGGGAAAAAAGACGAATCTATTCCCTAGCCACTTCACTATTCAAGTCTTATAACTTGTACTGTCCACACATGAAACAATGCTACATCAAGTTACACTAATGCGCGTCGGTGATGGGCATGAGTGTATAGTGTATACGCCGCCGATTCCATGCACAAGATGCTATCATTGATGTCTGTCTATAGTCACTCTATAGGATTAGGGCAGCGTCAGCTAAACAACAAGAATTCGTTTGAAAGTGGAAGCATTAATTAGACCATACTGGTGTGTTTGAGTCGATGGTTTGAGTCATTTGGGATGCCTGCAACGGGTTGGGAACGGACATATTTGGGTCTGAGAAAAGGCACTTTCAGCAGTAAAAAAGGGCACTGTTGAAAATTAGGGGGGCGGGGCGCTCGCGATCCGCTTCTGACATAAAATCAAAGATTTATTCTAGTAAAAACGCCCAGTTGGGTTATTTACAAATATTCTAACCGAACTGACAAAAATAATTTATACTTCTAGCCTGTCCATCCCACCCTGTATCTCTCCAGTAAAACCGATTGCCAGGTACCAAAATAAAATAGATATTTTGCAGTATAATGAAAATTTGTGTTTTTGACAAGAAATGGGAAGACCTGATTTGTCGGCAAATGCGATTGATGCATCTGAAAGACATTCCTGATATATTTTAATCCAGTTTTAGATTTCGTTCCGCTCCGAGAATCCGACCACTGTATTAAGTGCAAGAGAACTGTTCTACTCATAACAAACAAATCAGATAATGTAAGATGTAACTCTAAAAAAAGTAACTATAACTGGCGGGGTGCATCGTAAGCGCCCAGGGCGCTGTACAGACCGGGCCTGCAGCGATACAGAATTCATTTAAAAGGATAACAAACCCACAAAAAGAAAAGAAATCTGTCAATTGGAGGAGATATTTTTAAAAAGTTCGGTGCTATTTGTAGAACTGAAGCCAAGAATATATATGCAGCCCTCGGGTATGTTCATGACTTGTGCCATCACTCCAAATACGGCTGATTACATAAATTAAGTAATGCGCTGCTTAATGCAATTCTTTCACCCGCGCCGGCCGTGGCCTACCTGAATGACTGTTAACAAAATCACTTATGGATGTGCCTGCTATATTAGAATGGTCAGTATTTATTGACTCGATTATATAAAAAGATTACTTAAAACACAATAAATGAAAACCTAATCATTCCGTTTCGATAACTCTTCCGTTTTACGTCAATAAAGAAATAAAGTGAAATACTCGGGTTGAGTAGATCCACATCAAAAAATAAGATTGATCAGTACTGTTAAGAAAGTACAATTGGGAATTGGACCCGGTCACTTTCAAGTCGGAGAGAAATTATGTTTTATTTTTTATGTACCGGTATTTTAATTATGCTAAATTTTTAAAAATGTAAATTAAGATATATAGATTTCGCATAATACTGTCTTTTAAACGGAGTGATTAGAATATTTTGTCAAACAATATTGTGCATAATTTTGCACCTATTTATTGCTTGCTGGTAATATTACTGACCATTCATTGAATACATGATTACATGTACAATATTATTATGGGTAAATAGACAGCAGTTAATCACTACTAGTGGCACTAGAAAATATTTAAATAGCATAATGGTGAGTTTTGTTTCAAAGATATAAAAATTATCTGAATATTAAAGTGAGTTTGTTTAAAGGAGCTAAATCTTTAACTCTATAATATAATATTATTACATTCGACATTAAAAACACGAATTTGTATTCAATATTGGTCCATTTCAATCAATTTTGTTTCTGTTATCTTGCAGTGAAAATATGGGATCCTAATATCCACTATTTAAGACAAAATGTACATTTCAAAATCAGTACACAAGTTTCGGTCGCCATTCGACTCGCCATTTGTAATGAACAAAGACAAACATATTCTACAAAACAATCAAAGTAATTCAAAAACGACAAAATATTAATTAAAAAACATGTAGAATGGACTTGATAGACATAAAAGACTGTCGTTCAGTTTTTACTGTTCGCGTATTTCACTGAACATAATTGATTTAAAATTGCAATTGGGTAAGACGCTGGCTCGCTAGCCTGGAGGTCGGGGGTTCGATCCTTGCATTGGCCAAGAAAGTTTATCCAGATTTTCTAGCGTGGTTCCTCCTTGTCAGTGGTGCAGGATGGAGGGCCTGACAAGAACAGCTGCGTAGTCGTTCGGATGGGACAAAAAAAAAACCCAAGGTAGCGTGTACACATTGGCATGCACGTAAAAGATCCCTTGACAGTTGAAATTCGATATGAGAGTAGGCCATAGTGTCGCTCTCTGGGCAAAATTTCCCTCATAGCACACTGTATGGCATATGCCCGTCTTCATTAGCCCTGTTCTGAGCAGAAAATTAGGACATTTTAAAACCCCATTTCATTTCATTTCAAATTATATACATTAAACGTTTGATGTTCTTGTATTTATTATAGGAATCTAATGATGTTAAAACTTTTCATCAGTGTATAGTATGTAATGAGATGTTCCAGTATTACGATGACTTAGAAATGCACAATAAGATACATGTAAAACAAGAGGATACTAAAGAAGACTGTGATGTTGTAAATTTTGAAGCAGGAAAAAATGAGGTCAACACATTTCATGAGTGTAAATTGTGTCATGAAACATTCAAATGCTATATTGAATTAGAGAAACACTGTACGATGCATGTTAAAGATAAGGGGTTCATTCAAAATATTTCAGTTTTTGAAGCAAATAAATTAAGCGAGAAATGTAGACACCAGATAAATAAGAATGTTAATTTTAAATGTGACTTTTGTGTTAAGACATTTGTACACAAAGTTAATCTAGAGAGGCACATGGAAATTCATAATGGTGAAAAAACTTACAAATGTAATATTTGTGGTAGTGCATTTATACACAAAAGTAAACACGAAAGGCACATGAGAATTCATACTGGAGAAAGGCCGTTTATATGTGATCTTTGTAGTAAAGCATTTATAAATAAATGGAAGCTCCAAGTCCATATTAGGACACACACTGGAGGAAAACCATATAAATGTGATATTTGTGATAAATCGTTTACCCAGCGCGGCGATCTACAGAAACACATCCGAACGCATACCGACAAAAAGCCTAAAAAATGTGAAGTTTGTGGTATGGCATTTATTGACCATAGTCAACTAAGCAAACACAGGAGTACCCATACCGGAAGTACCTTTGATTGTGATGTTTGTGGTAAATCGTTCTATCAAAATTGTGATCTACAAAGACAGTAAACTCAGTGCACACAAGAGAACTCATACTGTGTAGTTTCGCATTTAGTGAAAAGGGTAGTCTACTCAGACACATCAGAAGTCAACACGCCGAAAAACTTTATAAGTGTGATTTTTGTATTAAGACATTTAATGATGAAGAAAAGCTGCAGAGACACCAAAGAACTCATACGGGTAAAAAACCATTTGGATGTAATATTTGCGATAAATCATTTGACAACAGACTTCGTTTAAATGCTCATATGGTAATTCATACTAAAGAAAAACCATTCGAATGTGAAGTCTGCGGAAAACTATTCACCATCAAGCAAACACTAAAATCACACATGCGACTACATTCTGGAATTAAACCTTTTAAATGTGATGTTTGTGACAAGTCTTTTTTTAATAACAGTTCTCGAAAAAAACACCTGCGAATACATACCATCAAGCAAACACTAAAATCACACATGCGACTACATTCTGGAATTAAACCTTTTAAATGTGATGTTTGTGACAAGTCTTTTTTTAATAACAGTTCTCGAAAAAAACACCTGCGAATACATACCGGAGAAGAACTATTTAGATGTGATTTTTGCACAAAGACATTTATAAGCACAGGTAGTCTACAGAGACACATAAGAACCCATATAGGAAAGAAACCTTTTAAATGTGATGTTTGTTTGAAAGCATTCACTGAAAAGAGTCAGGTGACGAGACACAGTAAAATTCATACCAAAGAAAGACCTTCTTATGAAATGAAATGAAATGAAATGTTGTTTAATGGCACGTCAGCTCCAACCGGGCTATATTGCGCCAAACATATGGTGAATTTAACGAGACAAATTAAAACAATATCACAGGGATGTATTCATATATGTAAATAAAAAATGAAATGAAATGTTGTTTAATGGCACGTCAGCTCCAACCGGGCTATATTGCGCCAAACATATGGTGAATCTAACGAGACAAATTAAAACAATATCACATAATTGAATTTATATATGTAAATAAAAACAAATATCACAGAAAATATATAATTAAAAATAAATATAACAAATCTTTTACATATATAAATATTTAAAACAATATACATGATTAAATATATACAATTAAAATTGAGAATAAAAGTTTGTCTCTTTTAAAAATGTTAGCACTTTATCATATAGCTCCGGTTGAGCAAATAGCTGACGTAATGACTGGCAACGGTAGTATTTAGATCTAATATACTTGAGATGTTTGCACTCAATCAAGATGTGGCTCACTGTCAAAGGAACATGACAGTGAACACATGTAAATAAAAACAAATATCACAGAAAATATAATTAAAAATAAATATATCAATACCTTTACATATATAAATATTTAAAACATAATATATGATAAATATATACAATTAAAATTTTGAATAAAAGTTTGTCTCTTTTAAAAATGCTAGCAATTTATCATAAAGCTCCGGTTGAGCAAATAGCTGACGTGCTGACTGGCAACGGTAATATTTAGATCTAATACGTTTGAGATGATTGCACTCAATCAAGATGTGTTTTACTGTCAAAGGAACATGGCAGTGGACACATTCTTGTTGAGGCTCTCGCTTCAAAATGAAAATATGAGTTAAAAAGGTATGACCAATGCGAGAGCGACACAAAACAACTTCATCTCTCCTGCTGGTTCTATAGGAGCTTGGCCAGTCTCCTAAGACAGGCTTAATGTGATGAAGTTTGTTTGTGTCTGCAAGATCCCAAGACCGTTGCCAGCGGTCAAATATAAAAAGGTTTATGGGACCTTCTTATGTATGTGGTGTTTGTAGCAAGACTTTTAAGGAGAATAGTACTCTACAGAAGCACATGAGACAACATACAGAATAGTACTCTACAGAAGCACATGAGACAACATACAGAATAGTACTCTACAGAAGCACATGAGACAACATACAGAATGTGGGAAAAGATGCCTAGCAAGATGAAATGAAATGTTGTTTTATGGAACATCAGCTCCAACCGGGCTATATTGCGCCACCGTCTTCATTAGCCTAGGTTAATAGTAGAACAGTAGGACGTTAAACCACATTTCATTTATATTGCGCCATTTATAGTGATTATTTCGAGACAGGCTAAATTATATCACAGAACAAAATACATGCATAAATAAAAACAATATCACAATAATTAACATTAAAAATATGCATATAAATAATTAAATACAAAAATGAAATGATATATAAATACAAATTAAAATTTATGATAAAAACCTAACACTTTACCATATAAACCCGGTTAGGCAAACAATTGATGTAATGATTGACAACGGTAAAAATGCGATCTGACATCTTTGAGATGCTTGCACTCAATCAGAATGTGCTTAACTGTCAAAGGAACATGACAGTGGTCACATTCTGGTTGAGACTCTCGCTTTAATATGAAAATGTGAGTTAAAAAACTTAGTTCCAGAATCTGAATTAACTTGGAGGGTTGATACATGTACTTTAACCTATATTAGTGGGTTACTACTATAAAAACTGGAACACCTGTATAATCTGGATATGAATTTATTCAACCAGCAACAACATTAAAATTAACTAACAATTAAATTGTGATACAAAGATAAAAATGGTTGGAGTGCCCAAGTTTAGATTTGTCGTTGATTCCATGAAGTAGTTAGGTTTTAGAACGTTAAATACTGTGTGATTCAACATGGTGCCCGAGGGGTTTAATAAGAAATAGGTACGACTATTTAGACTGTAATGCCTTGGAAATCGGAAGTTGGAGGCGACTAATATGTGTCTCTCTTTTGTGGACCGATGTGAGATTGTCCGTTGTGTTAACTGGACGAGTAGGCCTATTCGGAATAGTATAAATAAAAACGCCCAACACGTGAGTCCAATCAGTCTGAAGAGTTCAATACGAACGAAACTAGTCACTGACACTCGGGATAACCAGGTCTTAATAGCCACCTTATCTCTCTTATATTAACAATTAAATTGGCAGAACAATGTGATGTGTATCGAAGGTCAAACAGCTCTTTATTCAGTTGTATACAAAAATTAACATTTGCATATTGAAATCAATTTTTGTTTTACAAATATAAAGATAAAATTTATTTTAGAAAATCAGAAAGTGACGTTTACATTTGAACAGAGAAATGTTTTTCGTTATATGTTTTGATTTTCTAAAATAAACAGAGCGGAAATATAGAGAAAACGTCTACATGTACTGTAGCTATTATTCATTGTTTATATAACTTGTCATCATAAAATAAATAATATTGTTTTATGTTTCACAGACTCAATGTCATTCAGGTTGACCGTCGTCATTAGCCCAGTTGGAGCAAAACAGTAGGATGTTAAACCCCATTTCATTTCATTTCATAGGCCAGTTGATAACATAAAGGGTTTGGATGGCCGAATGGTTAATTTTCGGTCAATTGTTTTTTGTTGACCTTTTTTTCAAACTCACAGGGAACGTTCATTGGGTTTGAGTGATAGTATAGAAAAAAGGGGGTTTAACTTCCACTTGATACAAACTAGGTCATTTCATGAATAATGTACATGTATGGTTAAAATTTATTTCAATAATTTGCTTGCATGTACAGTACTAGTCTAGTGGAAGTATGAAATTAGTTCTTGGTGGGTGTTTTTTTCCGTTCAATAATCGCGGTGTTTTCTGATTGGCACTCCGCAAAAATATACAGTACTAGTCTAGTGAAAGTATGAAATTAGTCCTTGGTCATTTTTTTCCGCTCAAGAATCGCGGGTTTTTGAGTTGAAAAAAAACGCGGCGGAAATATTTAAAAAGTCGGCGGATTATAGTCCGCGAAAATATAAAAAACGCGACGGATTATAGTCCTCGAAAATATGAAAAACACGGCGGATTATAGGCCACAATAATATAAAAACGCGGTGGATTATAGTCCGCAAAAATTAAATATAGTCGGTCCGCAGGAACGTCTAATGCTCAGATGAATTTTGTCCATACATGTATTGCTACAGTGGTATTGGAACAATAACGCAGGTTAACTGTTCGCCTGTTGTGCCCCGTGACTTACTGTATATACCCTTCGCAAATTGCTTATAAAAATTAACTAAGGCCTATCGATACATGTATATCGTAAACTATCCTTCATTCCTAGTTTTCACCAGTTTTCGAGTCGTGAATCATACATTGTACATGTATCACAAACAAAAATACCTCACATGCATGTAGCTATATTGGGTGTCCACTGTTAATTTTACAAGGGGCAATGAAACCATGTTTTGTGAATTCCCATAAGCCAGTGGAACATTGGACACCGCTTGTACATCGGTATTGCAATCGTGATATTACAATCGTGAATAATATCACAAAGCACGTACATGTAGGTATTGTGGATGTCAACACTTAATTCGACAATTACACCGTGTTATGTGAATTCTGATAGCAGTGGCTGAGGCAATGAAACCAGGTCTCGTGAATTCTGTTAGCATTCTCGGAAAATTGGCGACAGCTTGTCTGTAAATATACTTAGAAAGTGCCATTCTTTATTCCCAATGTACATCGGTATTGCAATCGTGAATAATAGCACGAAGCACATACATTGAGGTATTGTGGATGTCAACGCTTAATCCGACAAGCAAACTGTGTTTCGTGAATTCTGATAGCAGTCGGCCAGTGACTGACAATGTATTCAGGAGGTAGTAATGAGCGCCTCAGATTTATTAAAAATAATTTAAGGATTTTTTTGAATAAGTACATGTAACATAAATATATATTTATGGGAAGGGTATCGCTGCCAATATTAAATGTTCTGCTACACTATCTTTTCCATTGATTATATGTAAAGAGTACAATGTACAAAGTCCTAATACCTCTAAAGCAAGAGTTAAATGTAAAACGTCAATTGTTAAGTGTCAAATGACATGTTTTGTGTGAAAATGCTTTTTTTTAATTTTTGACGTGTCAACATTTTACATTTCTCTTATTACATTTGCGCTCGCCTACATCCCATTTGTCCTTCACGCTTTCTACATATGTAGGATATCACAGAAACCTGGCACACTGTAAGTCAGAACAAGGATATTCACTACACTATAACAGGAAATTAGCTAAGCACACAATAATAAATTTACTTACCTTGACACTTTGGAATTCCAGGTATCATGTTACATATTAGTGAAAGGCACGTTCATTTCTATTTGTAAATATGTAAAATACACGTAGTTTTCTTGTACAATCGTATTTTCATACTTCAAATCCAATAAAATGAAATGTTGTTTAATGGCACGTCAGCTCCAACCGGGCTAACGAGACAAATTAAAACAATATCACATAATTGAATTTATATATGTAAATAAAAACAAATATCACAGAAAATATATAATTAAAAATAAATATAACAAATCTTTTACAT